ACAAACAATTTAATCCATAACTGGCATAAAAAAAAATTATAAAGATAAATGTAAAATCACTACTGAGCTAGGTGCTGAGAGGGAAAAGTTTATGACATTATGAAAGCAGATAACCATGAGACCTTACAGGTCTCCTACTACTATTATCAGTAATATCTAAATGATATAAGAAAAGATGTGACATTTATGAAACAATAACAAATTATATACAGTCAAATACAATCAGAAAACAAGAAAGAACTCTTGGAAATTAAAAATATGAACACAGAAATAAAAAAATAGATGAATTGGAAGATATGTCGCACTTCCCACAAAGCAGTACAAAATGGAAGATTGGTAGCAAACGAGAGAAAACTACAAGAATCTTATACTATAAATCAAGGAATTCCAACAACCTGGTAACATAAGTTTCAAAAAGAATTGGGAGTAGGAAATGATTAAAAATAATTAAAATAAGTGTCTTAGAATTTACAGACAAAAGTTTATAGTTTAAATAGCACCAACCAAGTTCTTACTATATTAGATGAAAATAGATCCACACCAAGACACATTACAATGAAATTTCAGAAAGAGGATGGAAAAGAAGAGATCCTGAAAACAAAAAGAGGCAACAAAAAGCAACGTCTCTGGAAGCTGGAAGACAATGAAGCAATGCCTTCCAGATTCCAAGGAAAATATTTCCAACACAGAATTCTACACAAAGCCAAAATGTAAGTGTTGGAGTAGCCTAAAGAAGTTTTCAGATGTTTAGGGTTTCAATATTTTACTTGCTATGTTCCCTTCCTCGAGATACTAATAGACGAAGTAGGAAACAAAAATGATGGAGGGGGAATCACGTGGGGAGGCAAAAGTGTCTGTGGGTTTGCGTCCTTAGCCCTGTGGCCATACGGGGGCGCCCCCGCTCAGCTCTCTCTAATCGTAGCTCTGGAGGGGTTTGCACGGTAAGGCTGGCAGAAGTAGCTTACCCAGTGTTTGGGCATCAGTGTGGAATAAGGATTCTCCTGAACAGCCCTGGACTCCACAGAGGCCAGGCTCCGGGGTGGAGGAGGCATTGGAGGAGAGGAGAGGAGAGCGCAGTAGCCCTGTGCCGTCTCTGAGGTTTCCGTCTCTTTTGTCGGCAACTGCTCTCTCCACCCCCTTGATGGCAACACCTAGGAAAACTGAACGGTAGGTAATTTTTACCTTGTACTCCCTATTCCTTTTCTGAGCGTATCTTTTAATTTTAGAATAGTTTTAGATTTATATCTTGTTAACATCTTACATTACTATAGTACATTGGTCACAGCTAATGAAGCAATATTGATTCATTGTAATTAACTTCCTACTTTATTCAGATTTCATTAGTCTTTCCCTAATGTCTCCTCTTTGTTCCAGGATCGCATCCAGGATACCACATTACATTTAGTTGTTGGCTCCTTAGGCTCATCTTGGCTATGATAGTTTCTCAGACTTTGCTTGTTTTTGATGACCTTTAATAATTTCAAGGAGTACTGATCAAGTATATTATAGAACGTTTCTCAATTTCAGTTTGATGTTTTTCTCATGGTTAGATGGGGGCTATGAGTTTTGGGGAAGAAGACCATAGAGATATCGCAACAACTTATCAAGGGTATATAATATCAACTTGATTTATCACTGATGCGGTTAACTTTGATCCCTTGATCACCTGACTAAAGTAGTGTTTCCCTGGCTAAGATAGTATTTCCCAGGTGCCTCCACTGTGAAATTACTCTCCACCCCCCCACCCTCCACCCCCCCGTACTGTACTCTTTGGACATAAGTCACTTTGTGAAACCCACACTTATGGGGTGAGAAATTATGCTCCAATTCCTTGAGGGCAAAATATCTACATAAATTATTTGGAATTTTTCTGTACAGATTTGTATATTCTCCCCCATTTATTTAATAACTTATGTATATCAGTAGGATTCATGGATATTCTAGCCTTCAGGTTCCAGTGTGATAAGGCTCCTGGAGTGTATTTATTTGAGTACAGTGCTTCAAGTACAGTTTCCCATGATCTGAAGACCTGTGAACCAAAGTTATCTGGCCACACACACACCCAACATACAATGGTGGGACAAGCATAGGATAACCATTGCGGACATTTAAAAAGGGGAAAAGGGAGGTACAAAGAAGCCACATAACAATGCTGAAATCCATTCAGGCTAATGTTGGAAGTTCCGTGGTTAGGACTCGGTCCTACTCCTACATGGGAATAATTCTCCATTGCTCTTGACTCTATACTCTGGAATCTTAGTTCCACACTTCTGAGTGATCCATCCTTTTACATGTGTTTTTTGTTGCATACTTTTTTCATTCTGCTTCCTGCCAGTAGAATTTAGGGCTCCATAGGCTGCTTTTCATTTAGTACTGTCTCTGTTCCTTTCATTCAAAACTTGCAGTGTTTCTCCTGATCTATGAAAAACTTTTGTTGAGTTCATTCCATTAGACAAAATCCACGCCCACAAATTTTTGGGGGATAAGCCTTTCTCTACCTTAGGCTTCAGCTAAGACTGCTAAGGATCAACATCCTTAAACTTCTTAGAAGCCTTATTGTTTGAAAGAATCTGTGAGACATACTCATAACTCTTTCGAAGGCCTTTTGTCTGACTAAACTGTACTCTGAGACACCAACTTGATCTTCTTGAGGTTTTAGCAAACGATTTTATATCTAACCCTCAGCTTCATCTTTAGAGTGCCTTGGATTTCATCTTTGCTAGGAAGTCATTTCTTAATTTTAGCATTATTTGCCATTTGGAGAGACTGGGAATCTTCAAAACCAGAATTCTGAACCTTAGTTTAATAAATCTCCCTTTAGCAATTTATTTTGAGCAGCAAGAACAGGTGGCACCTTTAACATTTTGCCTAGAAATTTTCTTAATCAGGTCATCCACTTTATTAGGCACATTTTGCACTTTCCACATTACTGCAGGCAATAGTGTTGCTAAACTTTGTCACTACATTAAAAAAAAATCCTCTTTCCTCCGGTTTCCAATAAGGTTTTCCTCACTTTCCTTTAAGCCCTCACCCATAGCCTCCTCAAAAGATATCTTGTTTTTACAAATAGTTTCTTCAAGACTCTTCAATGTCTACTAACATTTTTATCAAAGTCCTTCCAGCTCCTGGCCACTGCCCAGTTCCAAAGCCATTTCCACTTTTTAAAGTTTTTGTTATGGCAGCACCACATTTTCAGGTACCGAATGTCTGTAGTAGTCACCTATTGCTGTGTTAACAAATTATACCAAAATTTAGTAGTTTAAAACAACAAACATTTATTATTCCCAACAGTTTCTGAGGATCAGAACTCCAGGAGCAGGTTAGCTGGGTAGTTCTCACTAAAGGCTTCTCATTAGGTTGCAATCAAGATGTCAGATGGAACCGTAATAATCTGAATGTTTAACTAGTGCTGGAGGACTTATGTTCAAGCTCACACATGTGGTTGTTGGCAGAAAGCTTCAGTTCCTTGCTAGGTGTTAGCCAGAAGCATCAATTCCTCACCATGTGGGCCTCCCATAGGCAGATGTATTTATGACATGACAGCTGCTTCTCCCAAAACAAACGATTGAGGGAGAGAGATGCTAAGCAGAGACACAGTGCCTTTTATGACCTAATCTCTGAAGTTCCACACCATTATTTCCAGTTTACTGTATTCATTAGAAGTGAGTCACTGAGTCAAGGCCACACTAGGAGGAAGGTCACAAACTTACAGTTCTTACCCAATGTAGTAGTAGTCTTTCAAGATTAAAGCTCTTCTTAAATTTTTGTCTTCACTTATTTCCCAGGGATTTCAAAATACTTGTTTTTAATACTTTTGTCATTGTCATAATTGTTTTCTACAGGAAGACTTTCCCAACCTCTTCATACTGACACTACCATAAGTTCTACCCTACAAGAGACTTTTGGGAGAAAAAAATCACAGTCCCCAATTATATCTTGTGAGAGTAATATGGATACAGGCACCAGAGATTCCCTACTTAGGTTTCTCAAACTGAAATAAGATTAGGCCTGGCTAGGCCCAGAAATCAAGGGATGTTCTCACCAGGAAAATGGGCAAGATTCTTGCCTTAAGCAAGTCTAACCTGGTATCACTTGCCTTGCTAGAACTTTATATGTTCTTTCTTTTTGCCCACATTTCTCATTAAAAACTAGTTGCCATTGAGTCAACTGTGACTCATAGAAACCTCATGTGTCAGCGGAAAACTGTGCTCCACAGGGTTTTCAATGGCTGACTTTTCAAAAGCAGATCACCAGGCCTTTCTTCCAAGGGCCTCTGGGTGGACTTGAACCTCCAAACTTTTGGTTAGCAGCTGGGCATGTTAACAGTTTGCACCACCCAGGGATGCTGCATTTCTCATTAGTGATACTTTTCAATGAATGCACCCCTTAGAGTAATTCATTGGGACCTAACAAATTTAAAAGCTTTTCATTACACAAAGTAACAAAGAAATACCTTGACAGATTAAAAAAAAAAAAAGATCAGGCCTGGGATCTGGGCCCACAAACCCCTCAGGGGAACCACTGACTTTGACACCAGTGACAAAGGATGCCCCATACCTCACTGGCATCTTTAGTGTTGGAGACAACCCATTTTAAACCTGAGAATTTTTCTAGTTTGTGAATCAAGTCACCAAAAATACAGCCACATTTGAATGGAGGCCCTTGAAGCAGTTCATTTAAGTGTGCAATAAGCACTGTCTTTGTCCTCTAGCAAAAACATGAAATTGCAGGTGTTTTTAATCAATCAGTCAATCAACAGCTTGTTGTAGCCTTTGGCAATGGAACACCCTCATAATTCAGTGGACCCTGGACTTTTCCACTTATGGCTTTTCTACAACTCTGAAGAGTACAACCCTTTGAGATGTAACTGCATCGGTATTATTGAACCCTTATGAATAGAGGTCATCAAGCCCAAGAAAAAGTGATGACTTCTCATCCTGTAAAGGGTCTTTTCTGAACCAAAATCTCATAAAGTAGGGAAGTGCAAAAAAGTCCCCGTATGAAATAGAAATGGCACATTTATTTGAAGACCAAGTCTGGATGCAGAGGCCTTTACAAACAGCACAAAGATGGTAGGCAGAGAGATGTAATCATCTGCTGGTTCACCCAAACCACTGGCCCATGGAGGGCCTTGACAAAAGATATAGCCCTGATAACGAAGCATGGTTCACTGATGGAACAGTCCATCTCTAATGTGGTAAACCCACATTAGGAAGCCATCCACTGTTACGTTAGTAAACTACCTACAGTACTGGAAACTGTGCAGTTAAGCTGAACATCAATTTGCTGTAGAGCCTAACACTGACTGCAGCACAAAGACTCTTGGGCCTTCATTAATGACCCTACTGGATGGTCAGGCAGGCCACTGGGCTTCTGAATACTGGATTCTGAAGGGCACATCATATGGTGAAGACTTTACAAAAGCAGATTAAACAATACAGACACAAATTCAATATTTATGTTGCACATTTCATGCCCATGAGAATGGATTAAATATACAAGAAAGCACCTGGAATAAAAAGCGTTCATCAAGTAGGGGATGCCATCTGTGGTGCATGTAAAAAATCCTTTACATTAGGATTTGTTAGATTTCTTTCCCCTGTTGTTAGCTGCCATCAGGTCAACCCTAAATCATGGTTGCACAATGGAAAAAAAATGCTGCCCGTCCTGCGCCATACCCATAATTGGTTGCAAATGGGACAATATTCCATTGTGATCTATAGAGTTTTCATTGCCCTAGATCCTGAAAGCCTTGAAGTACCAAGCCATGACAATTGGCATAAAAACAGGGGCATGGATAAATCTGCAAATAATTTTGGGTGATGACTCAATTCCTAAAAAAAAAAAAAAAAAAAAAGATACATAGAGCATGCGGGAATATATCACAATGGCTAAACCGTTAATTGTGAAAGATGACCAAGAAACCTTGCTAGATCTGAATTCCAGAGTCCTAGACTGATGCTATAAATCGGGAGGGATTGCTGGTTTCTCACTTGGTTTCTAGATGCAAAAACAAAAGCACATTTCTATAGTAAGGAGAAGTGATGCACTAACAAAAAAAGTTTGCAGGAAAGCAGTTATCCTGAAAGACTTCTGTAGCAGCAACTCCATCTGAAATATATAATATTTACATAAAGCTGACTAAACAATAACGTTTCCTCCCTTGAATTCACAAGACTGAAATTTTGACAATCATGAGGAAAAAAAAAAAAAAGATGGTCTACAAAGTGTGTTTAGAAAAAGGTAGTTAGCCTGAGGCATTAACTAGAGAACTTGTTAATGTTCTCACATGAGTAATTGAGCTAGTACCACACAGGTTTTAGGAATCATTATATAAGAAGACCGAAAGTGTTGCACACTAATAAGGCAGTTTTGAAACCTTACATGCTACTTACTGGTTATAAATATTTAGTGTGAATTCACTGATCCAGAGGAAGTTTGCATTTGGTGGGCATAGCCTTGATGCACAGTCTGTACACAGTGGGAGGAGAGGAAAGGATAGTGTCTGTAGATTTAGGGGTACCCGGTTAGGCCAAAGAGACCTAAAAAGTGAGAACGAAGCTGCTCAGCATCTCAGAATTTATATCAGGAGGTAGACTGACCCAGAATCTAGAATGTCAAAGAATTAGACACAAGCAAAAATGTCTTTAGTGAGAAATTCCTCCGAAATCTAGATGGCATCAGATTTTCAAATCTATGAAGGTAATCTCTCTGGTACATTTAATAAAGGTTTATTAGCACCTATGTGCAAGGCACAGTGAGAGGTCTAAGGCCTCACGAATCTAACTTTTGGAGGCTTCATTAAGGTATAAAACCCAAAAAAACCAAGCCCTTTGCCATCGAGTTGATTCTGACTCACAATGACCCTACAGGACAGAGTAGAACTGCCCCATGGTGTTTCCAAGGCTGTAATCTTTTATGGAAGCAGACTGCCACATCTTTCTGCCACAGAGTGGCTGGTAGTTGCGAACTGTCAACCTTTTGGTTAGCAGCAGAGCGCATAACCACTGCACCATGCCTATAGGTAGAAGCGTGATAAAATAGTTGGAGCAGCATAATCACAACCATCCACCCAGGAGATGTAATAAAGTACTAGCTAAGAGTGAGTAGCCAGTCTAGAAGCCCATTTAAGTTTGACGGATTAGAACAAAACATTTTAGGTCCTACCTCTTCCAGATACCATTCTCATAACCTCCTATCAAACAAGTTTTTTTTTTTCCCATCACCTTCTAGAACATGGAACCCTGGTTGCTCAGTGGTTAAGCGCTCGACTGCTAACCAAAACGTCAGCAGTTTGAATCCACAAGCGGCTCGCTGGAAACCCTATGGGGTACTTCTACTCGGTCCTATAGGGTAGCTATGAGTCGCAATCGACTTGAAGGCAATGGGTTTTTCTAGAACACAGAAGATAATTCATCTCAATCAGACTCTACATTGTCTAACACTTGATGATGTTCAGTGGTAAATAAAGCCCCAGCCTACAATTTCTGGAATCGGGAGGTGCTCCAGGGTGGATTCAGTCCCATGAGGAATGAGTACCACCTTTGGCACGTACTACATGGGTCACTGTGATAGAATTCTTTTCCCAACGTGGCTTCTCTGATGTTGAACAAGGTACGAAGTTCGGGTGAAGCCTTTTCCACATACATCACACTGATAGGGTTTCTCACCAGTGTGAATTTTTTGATGTTCAATAAGGCTTCTATTCCGAGTGAAACTTCTGTCACACTCATTACATTTATAAGACACGGAAGCCTCAACATTTTCCCACTGGTTTTCCCAGGTCTCTCCATGTTCAGAATCCTGAATGTTTTTATCCCCACCATGGATCCTCTGATGTCTCAGGAGATGTGAACTCCGCCTAAAGGCTTTGCCACACATGTTACACTGATACGGCTTCTCCCCAGTGTGGATTCTGTGATGTTCAAGGAGGCTACAGCTTTGGCTGAAGGTCTTCCCACAGTCGTCACACTCATAGGGCTTCTCCCCAGTGTGGGTTCTCTGGTGTTTGATAAGGTCTGAGCTATGACTGAAAGCCTTCCCACATTCTTCACACTCATATGGCTTCTCACCAGTGTGGACTCGCTGATGAATGATGAGGGCAGAGCTCCCAATGAAGGCCTTGCCACACTCCTCACATTCATAGGGTTTCTCCCCAGTGTGGATTCTCCTGTGCTTACTCAGGCCTGAACTCTGAGCAAAACTCTTTCCACATTCATGGCAGTAGTGCCGCCTACTTCCTGTGGCATTTTTCTGCTTTCTGTGTAACTTGCCCTCCTGTTCACCAGCTTCTACACATGGAGGAATCTGTGCAATGTCTTCACCCAGGTGGCATGGGATCTCTCCAGGCTCTTGTACTAGATGTTCATCTTCAGGAGGCAAGTCCCTGATCTTAGTTCGTATTTCACCACCTGAAACAACAAATGACTGGTGACTGACAGTTATGCCCTGTCATGGAAGGAAAGCTCTGTGATGAGTATCAGGGAGGCAAGACTTCCAGAGGTCTGCATATGCCAAGTAGGAGGATTTGAGTGCAAGTGTACGGGTGGGAATACAGGGAAGAACAGAAGTACTGGAGAGGAGGGAGACCTGAGACTGGGAATGGGCCCATCGGAAGAAAGGTACAACTGGGAGTGGAGGGAGTGGAGGAGGGTGGTGAGGATGAAGGACTGTGCCAGGGGACACATACAGAGGCTCTCAGCTCTAAGAATAGTAAGGCAGGGCCATAACCCTAGGATTAGATACTAAAAGGGCTGAGCAGAAGGCCACAGTAAACAGGGCAAGTGAAAGGGTTTCTGAAGCACTCTGTAAAAGATAGAAAAAGTGAGGACTCAAATTGCTCTGACCAACAAAAAGATAGTCATTTTTGACTTTGCCCCAGGAAAAGGCAGGGTCTGCCAAACAGAAGTGGCTTCGGTGCTGGGAGATCTGAGTTGGAGCCCCTGCTGTGCCAACAATTAGCTGTGTGAACTCAGACAAATCACCTAACCTCTGTCCTCTGCACCCTCATCTCTTAGGTACCTCTAGCTCTCACACTCTATGGTCTTATGGCCCATTTCCTGAAGAGACCCCTCAGCTTTCCTCATCGGTCAGGCCCTAAGAACGGAAGGAAAGGAAGACAGCCTTTACTGAGCATTTTACTATGAGCCAGGCCTGTGCTAAGGGGCTGCATCTACTACATCCCACTTAACCTGACTAGAGAAGTGCCAGGACAGGGAAGAGGGCAAGGTCAGAAGGGTTAAGAAATTAGTCACACAGCTGGTTAGTAGCTGGGTTTCAGAAATGTTAGTTCTGAATCTAAACATATGCGGCTCCAAAGCTTCTAACAGTCCAGTAGGTTCCAATACACAAAGAAAACCAAGAAAGCTTACAAGAAATGAGTGCCCACTGTCTTACCCAGGGAGATGAGGCTGCTACAGTTCTCCTGCCTCTCGTCTCTATAGAGGTTCACCTGAGATGAGTCCAGCTGTGCCCGCCCAGGGGAGACAGTCAGGGCCACATCTTCCACCTTCAGCAAACCCTGAAACAACAGGCAATCCCACCTAGTTCCTCTTGCTGAAGGTCACTCCCAAAGTTCGGCACTGCCTTGATGGGCACACGCAAAGAACAAACATCCCGCTTAAAGGGGCTCTGCAGAACAGAGCGAGGCCTTAACCCTATCTTTAGTAACATTTTCATCAAAAAATACATTAAACAGATTAGGATAAATATTCTCATATAAATACCTAGACAACAGTCCAGAAAGTAAAAGGATTTGGAAAATAAAGGCCAACAAAGTAAAAGGAGTAGACCAGATGCAAAACTTTCAAAAGATTTATGTCATGCTTTTTCGGCATAATAGGGGTGGGGGCTTATTTACATTAATAATTTTTAAAATACAATGAAATGTAAGTCTGAGGTAGGAAAAAAATGGACTACAGTGTCTTAAACACTCAAATCTTCCAGCAAGACATAAAAGACTGGGCAAGAAATGAAAATCCAGGTAAGAAAAGATTGCTCAGGTGGTATCATAAATAACTTTAGACTCAAAAGGACAGGCCTTATGTGTCCCTTCAAGTGTAAGCTCCTTGAGGGCAGAGTCCATGTCTTTAGATCCCTCAACAACAGGACAATTTTAAAATCTTTTAAAAAACAAAAGATTAAAAAACTTTTAAGGAACAAAACAAAACCAGCATCACATAAAAATCCTCAGTTAACATGTGCTGAATTGCGCTTGATTCAGGAAGAAATCCCACAGATGAAGGGGCTGACCAAAGAGATGAGGTAGAAAAGATCTGGGAAGCACAGACAGCCCTCCAAGCTATTAGTAAAACAGAAACTGCCTCTTACATGGGCAACAAAGTAAAGACAGACAGTGATAAGCAATCTTGGGATAGATGGGAAAACTCAAATCACAGGTGGATCTATGCAGTGCAGTCAATTACTTAATATGACCCTTTTAGCTGTACACAGTTTTGTAATGATTGGGAGGGATTATGCAAATAAGGTGCTTGTGGCCCACTAAGGGGGTTAGACAGCCTGCTAATAATGCAAATAAGGTGTACAGAACCTTTGCAGGGATGGGACCATGCAAATAAGGTGTATGGAACCCTAACAAGGGGATTGGTCAGTTTTGCCATCCCACTAGGCTTAAAAAGAGAGCTAATCCCAGAGCAGGGGGCAGGGGGGAACCTTACTACCACCAAGAAAAAAAAAGCCAGGAAAGGAGCATGTCCTTTGGACCCAGGGTCCCTGTGTGCTGACAGCTTCCTAGACCCAGGAGGCAGAGAGCTGTGATACCTGAGACAGCAAGGAGCGGCACAGAGAAACGGGGCAGCAGAACTAGGAGACTGGTGCTAGATGGTGCTGCGGTGGGCTTCCTGGCCCACAGAACGAGGTGGCTAAGATGGGCATGCTGCCTCATGCAGTGAGACAGCTGACACCCTCAGGCAGGAAGCTTGCTGGTGGAGTGGGGTGCCTCCAGGCACTTGGCAGAGCTAGGCTCGCTCTCCAACCCACTGAGCGAGAGAGGGCTGAGTGCTTCTGGGCCGAGGCTTACTGGCAGAGTGGGGTGCCTCTGGCCACTTATTGGCAGAGCTAAAGAGCTTCATATCACTTGCCTGAGCAAGGCAGAGGCCAGGCCCAAGTGGGGCTGAGGACAGATGGCCAAAAGAGAAGGCTTGTCCTGAGAGGGCCGAGAGGAGCCCTGCATGGCCGAGAGGAGCTGAGAGAGCTGCCCTGCACTGAAGAAGGGAGCCTTTGCCTACGTGCTTCCTGACTGTGATCCTCAGTTGTAGCCTGTTGATCCTGATCTCGAGCTGTAAGTTGTTACTTCCCTAATAAATCCTTTAACTGTGAGTATGGTCTGTGAGTTCTGTGTGGCCATTGCAATGAATTTTCAAACCCATCAGAGAAGTAGAGTGCCGTGGGAAGGACAGCTGGTGTCAGAATTGGTAAAAAGATTGGAGAGAGGAGGTATGTCTGACCTCCACCTCATAGGAATCAGCCTTGGGCTGATGATGATAAGGATTCTCTCCCCCTCCAGAAGTTAGACAAGGTCAGATGTCCCCGTGCCATTTTTACAATCTAGGATTGGGGTGGAGGAGGAGTGGGGAGGGAGGGTCCTTCATGGGAAGCCCAATAGTAGTAAAAAGTGCTGGGGGAGAGAGGGTGCCTCCAGCTCACCTGGGACTCTGGGATGAGCCTGGCAGCTACCACTGTGTCTTCTCTGCAGCTTCTTCCCTGGGCAAGACCAGGAACCTGGAGAACCAAGAAGGAAAGAAGCTATGGATGAGATCTACCCTGGCATTCAGCCTCCCCATCCTGTGGAATCCAAGTTCAAAAACTGGGTTAATAAATTCCTCTCAAACATGTTTATAGAGAGTCTGTTTCTTTCCAAAATGCCTGATCCCTACCAGCTGCAATCCTATGGCGTGAACAGAGCTGGTGTGCTCCTGCAGAGACACAAACCACAGGCAGGATCCTTGGGAGGAATGGGGAAATGAAAGCAACATTAAAAAAAAAACAAAATTAAGAAAGCTTTCTGTTTGAAGATCTTTTAGTTTTGAACTTTGCTGGGATGGGGTCGCTGGCTGGCACAAATGGTTAAGCACTCAACTACTAGCCAAAAGGTTGGTGGTTCAAACCCACCCAGAGGTTCTTGGAAGACAGGCCTGGTGATTTACTTCCTAAAGGTCACAGCCTCAAAACCCAGTTCTACTCCGCATATATGGGATCACCGTAAGTCAGAATCAACTTGAACGGAACTAACAACGGGGATAAAATAGGATTTTTGCTTAAAATGTCTTTAGTAGCTATTAGAGTGCTTTCTAAGGAGCCCTGGTGGCTCAATGGTTAAGCACTCAGTGGCTAAGCAAAAGGTCAGTGGTTCAAATCCACCAGCCGCTCCTCAAGAGAAAAGACCTGGCAATATGTTCCCATAAAAGATTACAGCCTTGGAAACCCTATGGGGCAGTTCTACTCTGTCCTATAGGGTCGCTAGGAGTTGGAATCGATTTGAAGGCACACAACAACAGAGTGTTTTCTAGGAGCCTATGGGTGGCGCAACTGGATAAGCAATCAGCTACTAACAGAAAGGTTGGCAGTTCAGATCTACCCAGAGGTGCCTCAGAAGAAAGGCCTGGTAATATACTTTCAAAAGGTCACAGTCACGAAAACCCTATGGAGTGCAATCCTACTCTGCAACACATGGGGTTGCCATGAGTTGGAATCAACTTGAAGGCAACTAGTTCAGTTTTGGTTATGGTGCGTTCTGCCTTGGTTTTGAAAAACTAAGAGGAGTCAAAGCTGGGCCCAGAAAGAAGGAAATGGGAGTCTGCTTGTATAGAACTTTCTCAGATTCAACAGAGAGAGAGAAATGTAAAGAACTTCAGGTTTCCACATAAGAGGCAGAATTTGCAAGGGGCAGAAAACCAGCTGGTCTGTTGAAAAAGAATGCATGTTGGCTGGCCTGTCCCAGTGTTGTGTGTCTTGAGAACCTGCACACATGTTCAAGGCATATGAGAGGACATCTCAGAACATAAAGCAGTTTCTTGTGGAGGAATATGCACGCTGTTCTAATAACAGACCTAGGGTTCAGGAGATTTATATGCTTCACTTTGCAATTGTTCTACGATCTGTGGAGTATTCTGGCTGACTTTACAGATTCTGCCTTATTTTCTTCACAGCACTTAACCACTATCTGAAATTGTATTATTGTTATTTGCTGTCTCCCCTACTAAATGTAAGCCCCACTGGAGCAAGAATCTGTCTCACTGACAGCTCTGTCCCCAGTGCCAACAACACTGGCTACCACATAGGAGACCTCCATACATATGTGTTAAATGAATGGAGACCACTGTGTTCTTAAAAAAATCGATTCTTTCCAAACCCAAACTTTAGTAAAATCTTATTTACTATGTCCAGGCATGGTTAGGGAGGCTTTCCATCACTATGTTTGAAATTGCTCTTTTAGTCTCATTCTCAAAAAAAATTTAAAAAATATAAAAAGTCAATCTGTGATAGACATATAAAGTAAATGTCAATGGATCCAGCTTTTAGGTGATCCTGACACGAAATTGTATGAAGTCTGTAGAATTCATAGTGCCCAGAAGATAATCCTCACCTCTGTCTTGTAAGGGCTGGGACCCCAAAGATTCATGCTTGAGCAGAGCCTTCATCGGCTGGAATTGGCTACTTTGTGACCCCCGGGCTCCTGTCAACAGTGTCATCTTGCAACAGAGCAGTTCTTGCCCTCGGTCACCATCTGGGACCTAAAAGTCATTAATTTATTTTTATTTTCATTTATTCATCAAACACTTCTATAGTGCTTTCTATGTGCCTGGCACTGTTTCTCAGAGCTTTACAAATATTAACTCTCTTAACATGGACAACAACCCTGGGAGGTAGGAACCGTTATGATCTCCATTTTACTGATAGGGAAACTGAGGCACAGAGTTTAAGAAGCTTGCCCAAGGTCACCCAGCTAGTGGCAATGCTAGATTGGGAGCTCAGACCAAATGACTCCAGAGCCCATGCTTTTCACAATTATTCTGTGCTCCATCATTATATACATTTGTGCTTTTATGAAAACCCTTTGGAAAATGGTGCTAAACAAAGATAGAAATTTCTAACTTACAGGGTTTGGGGGACTTGTATATAAAATGTGGAAACCCTGGTGGCATAGTGGTTAAGAGTTCAGCTGCTAACCAAAAGGTTGACAGTTCAAATCTACCAGGCACTCCTTGGAAACCCTATGGGGCAGTCCTATAATGTCAGAATCGACTTGGTGGCAGCGGGTTTGGTTTTGGTTTTATGTGAAATTGCCTAACATAGGGCCTCCTGTGTTAAATTATATAATTACATTAAATTATAAATTATAATTATATATTTTTAATTATAAATTGCATTATATAATTATAGTTAAATTACAGTTTTTGAGTCACTTTCATGATCATTAATGTGCAGCTCAAAATTTCTAAAGAATGAAGAGCCTAAACTTTAAGATCTGAAATGACTTTTCACTGTTACAGGGCTCAGGTGCAGTAGATTCAAGTCACGAACCTTGCACTCCTGGTTATGGGTTAGAAGACTTTATTCTGGTCACATTCCCTGAACGAATGTGCACAAGGTCACAGGAAAATGCAAAGAGGAAACAGTCTCTTACAACAGGTAGGAAGATGCAGGTAAAAATGAACCGTTTCTCCCAGGGGTTCTTAACCAGTGGGCCATGGACTCCTTCCAAGTGGTCCATGACATGAAAAGGAAAAAATGTATTTTTCATTTTACTAACCTCTAAGTGAAATTTAGCATTTCCTTCAGTTATGAATGCAAGCAACAAACCAAGGTGGTATGCGCTATACCTGACTTTGTCACCAATAGAAACTGCAGATGTTTTCATATTACATGACAACCAGGCAAATAGCCTCAAAGTCATCTTGTTTATTATCGCCTTGAAACTACCAGAATTACTATACCTGCACTATATCTTATTATTTAGTACATTAATAAAAAAAACTTTATCACAAATTTGTTTAATATTTTACTAACTGTATTTCAGCATAATTAATTTTCTTTGTAGTCTTTTACATTTTCTTTTATGCATTTAAAAATATTATTCTGAGAACAGATCCAGGGACTTAACCTTACTGCCAAAGAGGTTCATGGTAGAGAAAAAGATTGAGAACGCCTGGATCTAAAGGAATGCCCCTCACTCCAATCTTGAGATTTTAGGAAGAAAGAAACCACAGCTCTGAAATACTAAACCAGTTGTTTCTACCTGAGGCCTCGGCTCATCCAGCTGCCTCTCCAAACACTCCAAGAGAACCACCGCCTCCTCCCTGCTCTCTGGATGCTGTTCCTGCACCCAGCTCTGCAGCGCCCCGGGCAGGATGGTCAGGAACTGCTCCAGCACCAGCAGCTCCAGGATCTGCTCCTTGCTGTGCATCTCGGGCCGCAGCCATTGCCTGCAGAGCTCCTGGAGCCGGCTCAGCGCCTCGCGGGGCCCTGCAGCCTCTGGGTAGCGGAAGCTCCGGAAGCGCTGGCGGGAGCGCTCTGAGCCTGCTGCCGGGCTGCAGGACAAACGGGCCTCCTCCGCAAAGGCAGAGGCCTCCTCTTTTTCCACCTTCACGGTCAGGAGCCCCGTCTGGTCCTCTGTAGACTGGGCGTCCAAGGCTGCACGTTGCCTCGATTCTCTTGCCATCCTGGGCCAAGGCAGTACTTGGGCCTCACTTTAGCTGGGAGCTGTATTTCTGCAGAAGATTCCTGAAGAGTGGGAAATCGCTATTAACTAGTGAAACTGTAAGAGGTCCCCTCCCTGCATGCTCAGTGGCCCAGGACACCCCTGAAGGAGCAACTGCAGAGATTTTTCTCCCCTCGGTCAAGTGCCTCTGCAGCTTCATCCTGCACACTACCCCAACCCTGAATCCCACAGTAAACATCTCAAAGAATGTCATGGGGGTGGAGCTGGACGCTTCCCTTCGCCCCCCATTCCCGAACTAATCAGGAGACAGGTTGAGATTGGGCTAGGAGGCCTTTGGTGGAGACCGAGGCCACTTCCTGTGTTCGCTAGGAAGCCCTTCTCAGTGATTGGCTCAGAGCTATCCTATTAACAAGCATGGTCTGTGGGTGGCTGAATTCTAAGCTGTCTCCCAAAGATTTGTTGCCTTAATCCCCAAGACTCTGAATATGATGAATTAGCATGCTCAGACTGCAAATAACTGAATTCTACCAACATCCCCAACGAGCTTTTAAGCAGATTCCTCCCAGTGCCTCTAGGTAAGAGCTCAGCCCTACCAACACCTTGATTTCAGCTTTGGAAGACCCCAAGCAGAGAAGTTGGCTGAGCCAGCCTGGACTTCAGGCCTATAAAACTGGGAAATAATAAATGGGTATTGTTTTAAGCTGACAGATTTGTGGCAAGTTGTTATGCAGCAATAGGAAACTGATATCAGGTCCTTATCTGCTGTTAAGAAGGTCTCTGGGTGGCACAAACAGTTTGCTCTCAGCTACTAACTGAAAGGTTGGTGGTTCAAATCCACCCAGCAGCCCCCCAGAAGAAAAGCGATCTACTTACGTAAGAGTACAGCCATTGAAAACCCTATGGAGTGCAGTTCTACTCTGAAACGTGGGGTTGCCAAGAGTCAGAATTGAGAGCAACCAGTTATCTGCTGTCAAGACACCAAAGTTAGGGGAAAGAGAAAGAAAGGAGGGCAAGCTCTGGATTACAAGAAATAGAACTGAATCTCTCAACCCTGGTTAACTAATTCTTTCAACCCTGGTTACCTGCTGGTGAGGCTCCCATTGATCTTTGTTGTGAGGCTTGCCATGAAATTGACACTCAGCTGGAAGTAGGGCTTAGCCTACTTCGAATGTGTTCAAAGCCAAGCTGGTTTTCTTCCCTCCTAATCTACTCCTTCCCCAGTATGGCATTCTCTAGAAACAGCAGCGCCACCCGCCGGGTTTCCCTGGAATCATCTTTGACCCTTCTCATTCAGTTGTCACATTGGATCACCTGGTCCAATCTATTCTACCCCTGGAATGTCTCTCAGATCTGTTCCCTTTCCTCCATTCTCACTGCTATTGCCATAGCTCAGGCCCTCGTTATTACTGAGTGCTTACTATCTTTCTAAGTGCTCTACTAAGTGCTACCAATCTTTCCCTAAAGAGCTGGCAGATCTCTAGACTGTGAAGGACCCAGGATGTTTGCTCACACCAGGGGTCCTAGTTCTTGACTGTTAAAAACCTCTCTTGCTCCTCTTGAATCAGGAAAGCCAAGGAAAAGGCACCCCCAAGCCTGGAAGCCACTGTGAATTTGAGCATCACAACACAAAACACAAATCAGTTTGGGTTTTTGCTTTGGGAAAGGCTCTTCTTAAGAGTATCATATTTTTTCCTACTAAAATATAGGAAATAGCCTTACAAAGAGAATTGACAAATGACACTAAAATTTAAAGAAACAGCATCAAAAGCCAGGCACCATGATAAAGATAATATTTCACATAGTTATATAAATAATAGTCGTAATAATAATAATGATAGCAAATCTTTAAATGGTGCTTACTCTGTGCCTGGTACTATTTTAAGGACTTTACACATATTTACTCATTTAATTCTCACAACCACCCAATGAATTAGGGAATATCATTATCCCCATTTTACAAAGCACTAAAATCAGGCCACAGAGAGGTTAAGGGACTGGCCAAGTCACACAGCCAATAAGTGGCAAAGGCAGGATTCGAACGAGGCAGTCTCACTCCAAAATTCGGGCTATTTTCCAGTACTTCAATAGTAATTTAAAGACCTTGGTACCGACCTTGTCTCCAGGCGGAGCAAAATTTAACGGCTCTCATTTTCAAGGCTTGTCTGTGACTGTGAGCCAAGAATCCCCAGTCTCCAAACGCCGAGAGGCACTGACCCAGACTCCCAGAAATGACCCTGGACAAGGGGTACCGACAGTCGGCTCCTCGCGGGGACTCCAGGCCCAACTCCGTCCGGCCACACAGCGCACTCCCCTCCTCCACGCCCCTCGCAGGGGTTTCCCTCCCAAAGAGTCCTGGCTGCAGAGCGCTGGTGACAGGGGTTTCCCCCAAACGGTAACCACAACTCCACCTGGGGACCCAAAGAACGGCACCTGTGGCAGCAGAGCCACGGGAGGAGACCCAAACCCACACTAGTAAGCGGGTACCCAACCGGCGTCCTTCACTCACCCCAAACTCACAAAGTGTCCGAAACGAGCAAATCAACCGCCAGGCTGGGCACAGAGGCTACTTCCGGGCCTCTCTATCCACCTCCTCGACTGACACTCGGTAGTTTGCCAGCTCACCACCAGGTCTTCTCCCCTCGTCTGTTGTTATTAAAGAGGCTTTTCTTAAAAATGATTTTTCCAGATATAGCAAAGAGAGAAAAGCAAGGTGCAGGACTCTTTATAGTTTGCTACATTTGCGAAAAGACAGAAGTGAATAATAAGAATTTAAATTGTATTTGTTTGCATATTCACAAGGAAACTATAGAACAATACATAAGAAAACTAGTAACAGTGATTACCTGCGAGAGGTGAAGGCTTAGAAACTGTGTAAGAGGGGGACAAGGGTGAGAGGAAGAGTGCTACCGTACACCTTTATGGTTTTAATTTTAGAGCTGATTGCATTACCTAATTAAGTCATTGAATATAAACACATGTTTTAAGGGGCGTTCTGAATTGTTTACACAGAAAAAACCCAAAATAATCGAAACTCAAAGTATGACAATAAGAGAGTTTAACTACATTGCTGGATAAAACTGTTCATATTTACAACTGCATTCTCCACAATCACAAGTAAAAAATGTAACTTTTTAAAGATAGCAATTACAGGAGCAAAGAAATACATAAGATATCTTAATGGAATCATTATAAAACCTTATCTATTAAGGAAATGATAGGTAATAGAGATATATACCATGTCTGAGTATAGGAGGACTCAATATCATCAGGATGTCATTCGTTTCTAAATTAACACACAAATTCATTGTAAGGCCACTCAAAATCTCAATAATGTGTTCCATGGAACTTGACTAGTTGATTCTAAGTTTATAAGAACTAATGAAGGAAATTTTTGGCCAAGTGAAGGAGGTGCAAAAACTTGCTCTACCAGATATTAGGATTTATTATAAATATATAGGTTCCTAGGTGGCACAAACTGTTCTTGGCTACTAACTGAAAGGATGGTGGTTCAAATCCACCCAGCAGTGCCATGGGAGAAATGCCTGGCAATCTGCTTCCATAAGATTACAGCCAAGAAAACCCTGTGGAGCGTAGTTCTACTCTGAAGCACATGGAGTCTCCATGAGTCAGAATCAATTCATTGGTTATGTCTCTTCAGGGCCTTAAACTCCTGCTCTTTGATCTTTCCATTATTCGCACTAAAAGTTCTTCATGATCCAGCTTTTGCTGAGTGACTCAAGCTCCACTGCCTGCCTTTGTCCCTCCAGCTCTAAGAGTGATAGCAGTTTCCTACTGTTGCTGATCTCTGGGTTGCCTCACCATTCCTTATTTGGTTCCTCAGCCTTTCCACCAGCTTGTACTCAATTCCTGTATTAAATCCCTGGTATTCGACATACCTAAAGTGCTTTCTTTTTTTATGAGTGGACACTGACTGATATTGGATGCCTATTAGTTATGAAGTAGAATACTGATAAGGTAGCTGGGGGCATGAATTTGGAAATCAGGGAAAAAGTTAGGGCCAAAATTATTAATTTGAGAGTCAGAAGCAGCGCTTCGAACTGTTTCAAACTGGTCCAAAACCCTGCTGAGAATTTGCATTTCTAACAAGCTCCCAGGTGATGCTAATGCTGCTGTTTAGGGACCAGTTCTGAGAACCACTAGTAGAGCAGTGGTTCTCAATTTTTATTATACATGAGAATCACCCAAGGATCTTGTTAAAGTGTAGATTTTGCAAAAAGACAGAAACAAACTAAGTGCCCATCAACAGATGAATGGATAAACAAACTATGGTACATACACACAATGTAATACTACATAACAATAAAGAACAATGATGAATCTGCGAAACATCTCACAACATGGATGCTGAGTGAAATAAGTCAATCACAGATGGACAAATACTATATGAGACCACTATTATCAAAACTCATGAAAAGATTTACATACAGAAAGAAATAATTTTTGATGATAATGAGGGAGGGGAGGGGTGGGAGCGAAAAACACTAACTAGAAAATAGATAAGTGGTAAGTTGGGTGAAGGGTAAGGCAGTATACAATACTGGGGAAGCCAGCACAACTTGACCAAGACAAGGTTATGGAAGCTTCACAGACACATCTAAACTCCCTGAGGGACTGAATTACTTGGCTGAGGGTAGGGGACCATGGTCTAGGGGCACATCTAGCTCAACTGGCATAACATAGTTTATAAAGAAAATGTTTTACATCCTACTTTGGTGAGTAGAGTCTGGGGTCTTAAAAGCTTGTGAGCAGCCATCTAAGATACTCCACTGATCCCACCCCGTCTGGAGCAAGGGAGAATGAAGAAAACCAAAGACATAAGGGAAAGATTAGTCCAAAGGACTAATGGACCACAACTACCACAGCCTCCACTAGACTTGAGTCCAGCACAACTAGATGATGCCTGGCTACCACCACTGACTGCTCTGACAGGGATTACAATATAGAGAATCCCGGACAGAGCTGGAGAAAAATGTAGAACAAAATTCTAACTCACAATAGAAGACTAGACTTACTGGTCTGACAGAGACTGGAAAAACCCTGAGTATGGCCCCTGGACACCCTTTTTACTCAGTGCTGAAGTCACTCCTGAGGTTCACCCTTCAGCCAAAGATTGGACAGGCCCATAAAACAAAACGAGACTAAATGGGCACACCAACCCAGGGGCAAGGATGAGAAGGCAGGAGGGACAGGAAAGCTGGTAATGGGGAACCCAAGATGGAGAAGGGGAGAGTGTTGCCTTGTTGTGGGGTTGGCAACCAATGTCACAAAACAATATGTGTATTGTTTAATGTGAAACTAATTTGCTCTGTAAACCTTCATCTAACGTACAATAAAAAAAGTAGATTCTGATTCAGAATATCTGGGGTGGAAATGTGAATTCTCAGCAGGGGTTCCGACCGGTTCAAAGCTCTGGTCAGAAACAGAGCAATAGTATTTCAGCCTATGAAAGTGTATGAAATCACATAGGAAGAGAATTGTTCTAGATTGGGTTCCCAAGAAGCAGACTCACGACTGAGATTTGTAGGCAGGAATTTTATTGCGATGTGCTCTCAGGAATAACATTCATGAGGAAGGAAAAAAGACTGGGCTGAGTCGCTGAACTGTAGTTTCATTACAAGAGAGGTTCCTGGTGATCCTAATCAGGAGCTCAAGAACTAGAATGGTTCTTCAAAATTTTCCTGCTTTGATGCAACGTGTTCAGGAAGGAAGGGGTATGGCCTCTTGTGAGGCAATTCTTTGGCTGATGTCAATTCCCAGAGGGAGGTTCAACTAAGAGCCATTAGCTACCAACTCTCCAAACAGCTGGGGAAACGAGTGCCTCTGTTCTGAAGTGACTGTTGTGGGTGGTGTATCACAACATACACTACAGTTTGCCCCTTGAGCCACTCTGATCCACTTGCTTGGTATAATAAGAAATGAGAACAACTATTCCAGAATTCTGCTCTTTTCCTGTGGCAATTTATAAGGGTAGACTACTAGAAAGACTTACAGTTTCCACTGCTATAGCATATCTTAAGTCCATAAAGGATATTCATTGTCTCCCTTCTCTATTACCCATTCCATATTCCCCTCATTCCTGGCTATCACCTCTCATGGTCTCATAGAGACCCTATGTATAACAGAATGAAACATTGCTCAATCTGTGCCATACTCACAATCACTGCTATGTTTGAGCCCATTGTTGCAGCCACTGCGTCAATCCATCTCATCAAGGGCTCTTTTTCGCTGATCCTCTACTTTACCAAGCATGATGTCCTCCTCCAGTGACTGGTCCCTCTGGATAACATGGCCAAAGTAAGTGAGACGAAGTCTCGCCATCCTCACTTCTAAGGAGCTTTCTGGTTGTACTTCTTCCAAGACAGATTTGTCTGTTGTTCTGTAAGTCTATGGCATATTCAGTATTCTTCACCAGCACCATAATTCAAAGGCATCAATTCTTCTTCAGTCTTCCTTATTTATTGTCCAGATTTCACATGCATATGTGGCGATTGAAAATACCATGGCTTGGGTCAGGTGCATCTTTGTTCTCAAAGTGCCATCTTTGCTTTTTAACATTTTAAAGAGGTCTTTTGCAGCAGATTTGTCCAATGCAATACATCGTTTGATTTCTTGACTGCTGCTCCCATGGGCTTTGATTGTGAATTCAAGTAAAATGAAATCCTTGACAACTTCAATCTTTTCTCCATTTATCATATTTCTTATTGGTCCAGTTGTGAGGATTTTTGTTTTCTTTATGTTGAGGTGTAATCTATACTAAAAGCTGTAGTCTTTGATCTTCATCAGTAAGCAAGGTTGTGTCATCTGCATATCACAGCAGGTTGTTAATTGGTCTTCCTCCAATCCTGATGCCTCGTTCTTCTTCATATAGTCCAGCTTCTTGGATTATTTGTTCAGCATACCGATTGAATAAGTATGGTGAAAGGATATAAGCCCGACACACAGCTTTTCTGATTTTAAACCACACAGTATCCCCTTATTCTGTCTGAACAACTGCCTTTTGGTCTATGTACAGATTCCTCATGAGCACAATTAAGTGTTCTAGAATTCCCATTCTTTGCAATGTTATCTATAATTTGTTATGATCCACACAGTTGAATGCCTTTGCATAGTCAATAAAACACAGGTAAACATCTTTCTGGTATT